GGTTCTGATAGCATGGTAAGAACTACCTAAAATGACAGAAACTGTCATGTATTTGGCATTTACTTTGACTTTTTGGTTTAGTTTGATCCTTGTCCAATTTGTTAATATTGAGGAGGTGGGATTTAAGTCCCATACTGCAGCCAGCCAGGCTGGATAATCTGTCTTCACTTTTGAAGAGCTGTCAAGTGATACATCTTTATATATTCTCCACTGATCTGTGATATGACTGTTCTGCTGCTGCTGCACAGAGCAGAGATTTGCAGCTCATAACTGACATCAGACTAAGTATTGGTGATTAGTATTTTAGGTGGAGTTCTTCTTTGATGAATGTGCCACCATTGTTACACATAAATGAACTAAAGATGGTGGGGCCGGTGGGCCGCTATGTGCCTGTAACAAACTGCAGCAACCCTGATATAGAGTATAAATAGATAAAACTATTACACAATTTTCCTCTTGAATGTGAAACCACTTGAGTTTTTGTTTCTGAGAGCAGTTCAACATAACTTAATAATTAACAGTTTTTACTGGCTTTTGTTGTTGCATAAACACATTCACTGTGACATATTCTTAATTTGTTTGCTACCATTTAATTCCAGGGCTGATTACATCAGTGGAACAAAATGTTAGTGTCTGAAGTGGAACACAATGCAGAAAAGTGCAATAGCCTGTTTACGCCTCAGAGCTGCAGAGGCTGGAAAACACGGAAGATAATTGGAGTTGGTGTGGGATTCACAGCTCATTGCAAGTCTCACACAGGTTACACCTCCAGCTGGGAAAGGTGAATGGCACACAAGATGCAAAGCGAGAAAGAATAATTGACAACAGGAGAGCAAGAAAGGACTAGTAATTAAGACATTAATCAAATCTTGGAGTAATCATTCCAATGCCCGGAGTGTGAAGTTCACCGGAGCCGGGTCAAATTGATACGCTGCCGCCAGGAAGTGGTCTGTGTCATTACCACGACGGCTAATCAGAAAGCTATCTCTGGTTGCTGTCAAAAACTAGTCTTCATGACATATATCACATGTAATTTTTTTTTCTCAATAAATTGGGGAAAGAGCCCACTCACACAGTATAATATTTTGTCAGGGCAGGGGCACTAAATCTAGGAAAATATCAATTTCCTGAAATGAGCAACTTCTCTGTCGCTTCAGAGATGACCGATGTTTTTTATGTAACATTATATTTTTTTTAAAAAAGAACATTTGCACGCAGATAAAGAGTAATATCTGCAGAGATGAACAGATCTGTTACGTAAAACCAAATTAAAACTAAAATGTGATGGAATAACTAAATGTTAAGGATTTAATGAACTCATTAATTAAAGATAAAAGGCGGCATTAATATTCTATCAGATATTAGACACAACCTTCCTGCCATTATCATAGAAGCAGACGTTGTCATTTTGTCATTGTCTACTCTACATCCTACCTTAACTGCCCACTGATCAGACACTCCTCTGTTTCCTCATTTCCTTATCATATTTTTCTCAGCGCTGCAGCCCCACTGTGAGCTGGTTGCCTGCAATGCTCTTTGTGTTCCTGACATGCCTCTTCTCTCACTTGTTTTATATCACCTGCTCTTATCGGTTTCCTTTTCTGCAAAGCAATGCTTCCTTATTTACTGTGTTCAGTAATTAACCCCTGACTTGAACATGTTGTAGACCAATTTAGTTATATAGCATATAAGACAGGGACTGTAAAACATATCCAGATAACCACATAAATACTGGCGCTGCATCGAAAGAATAACCAGATTCATGAAAATACAACTATACATGGATATTGTAATAATTAGTTGTCTCTTTTTCAGCAACAGCTAATAAGACTATGTTAGACTTACCCTGATTTGACCAATTTAAACCACTCCACCTGTGATACAGTAGATACTGACATAGATAAAAGCCTAATGTTTGCACTTTGAAGTTTACAGTATGTAGAGGCCTGCTGGGAGTGTGTCTGCAGCAAGCAAAAGAGACAGCACCATCAGAATAACCCGTAATAAATAGTTTCAGGCATGTCTGGTAGCCAAGTACCTAAAGTGTTATATACCTTTGTTGGTCTTTTGCCATATCTTTCCATCTCTATGTTTCCTGTTTGTCACTATAGATAATAGATGCAAAAAAAATAAAAGAATCCTAAAGGACAAGATTTTTTATTTGAAAGGGCTGCAGTCAGTTTAGGATGAACCATAATGGACCACACCATTTTCACATTACATTACTTATTAGTCCATCGACAAAATATGAATAGATGAAAGTTTGATGCATTAAAAAAATAATTCTTCATGAGATAGACATCTGGCTCTTAAGCCTCTAAATGCTCCACTATGTTCAACAGCTATGAGTGTTAACACTGGCAGGTAGCTTACGAAAGATTTATCAGAGCTTTGTAGCTGTACAAGCTGCAGAGTCAGGGGATAATTCTCAGGGGGTCTGACCCCTTTCACAACACACACTTTCTTTTGATCAGTTGTTAATCTAAAATCATTGATTTCAGCAGCTTGAAAGTCATTTATCAAGCAAGAAAAAGCGAAACATTTGCTTGTCCTGGCTTTTCAAACATGGATCTGCTGCTTTCCTCAGTTTTATATTACTGTAAGGCCAGGACCAGGCAAGGCCAGTAAAACTGCCAACAGTCCCTGAATAAAACACTGAAATAAACTACATCCAGATTTTAGTTTGGATCTAATGGACCAAATTGCACACATTCATAGATATCAATCTTCTAAACATGCCTGATTTAATATCTATGAAACATTCTCTAATAATACACAAAAATGATGAAAAACGGTCTGTCTAACAATGTTTAGGAAATAAAATTCTTTTTGAAGCCCCACCCCTCCACAAAATTTAATTGAAATTGGTTGCGTAGTTTTTGCATAATCCTGCAACAACAATTGGATATGGGTGAAAAAATAACCTCATTGGGGCTCTGGGAACCAGCGATGGCCATTGTGCACTTTTTAAAAGTTATGTTTACATCATTGGTTAATTGTAGGAACATGAATATAAATAGTTAATTAATAGATTCTGGTTAAATATAAATGTTTTACAGTTGTAGAGTTGTTGAAACTGTATTTAGGAGTGCCTTGGTGACCCAGTACTCGTAGACAAATAAAACTTATCTGCAATGTCCCATTTTTAATCCATCCAGGGACAGATATGGCATGTCATCCCCCTTTTTCTCTCTCCCCACATATTCTGCGCCACCATTCTCTGCTTTCCAATGAAGGCATGCTGCCAAAACATAGCATACAGGCATATAAAAGAGATCTGTTTGTGTACTCATAAATCTGTTTGTAACCCTGCCATCCAGGTGCCATAAATGTGTTTTAAAATGTCATTTAAAATTACAGTTTGCTATACAGTAAATCCATTTGTGATCCTCGCAACCATAAAAAGAAAACTGAAATCTAGTTTTGGGCCAAAGTTCCACTCTGTCAAGGAGAAATCAATCACTCCCTCCCTGGAGGAACGCAAGCTGGCATTCGAACTGATTGTGCCATTTTGCCTTACATGGAAATCGACAATTCTTTTTCCACATCCCTGTCTTTCAATTCAAATTAATTCACAGTGTTTACAAGGGATTTCTGTTCAAAAGGAAAACAAATGATTGCACCGCCCAGCTGGGCCCAGCACACTGTTGTCTCTTTATTCATCACTGGATGTGTTACACTGAAAGGGATGTGATTTGGCATCTCACAGAAAAAGACTACTGGGTGATAGAGTGCCTAACATGAGCATAACTGTGGTGATGGGGATTTAAATGGTCTTTCTGTGCCAGACTGGAACAAACTTTCTTGGAGTGTTGCCTGAAAGTTCAGGAACAAGATACAGAGGACACTGAACAATAGATCACCATATAGTGTGTGTCTGATAAACTAAATATGATAAAATAATCGTTGAAGTAGCTTGGTTTTTAAATTATTTGGAGCTCACAGCCGACTGGCGAGCAACTGCAGCTCATGAGCTCGTCCACTGCACGAGCAAAAAGCACAAAGACAATTAGAGAGAAAACACAACAGTGTGTTTTCGTTGATTGCTGATAATGTGTACTGTTGCGGGAGATACAGACAGCTTCCTTCCATCTGACTCTGTTCAGACAGCTGCACTCAGTCGGCACTGCCGCTGTACCAGGCAGACGAGGTAAGGCTGTTGCTAGGACACTGACTCCTACTGAAAGAGTAATGTGAAACAAATTCCATTTGACTGGCTACTTCCTGCATTCGTTTTATTAACTTTCATGTGTTGATGACAGTACAGAAAGACTTTGCTGCATATTAATTAAACATGAAACAGATGTATTACAAAGATTTTGCACTGGAGCTCATTTGTCTCGTTTGAATTGTTTGAACATTGAAAGAAACGCTATGTTAACAGAGTAGTAATCAAATGACACAAGAATACATGACTTTAAAAGACACATCAGGATGCTTGTATGTGTAGTGGTGTGCCTGTATCTTATTTTCTGTTAAAGCGGTTAGTGGTTGACGGACGGTAAATCATGGCACACATGTGGCGACTGATCAAAAACTGTTTCACGACAGATTCTACAACAAATCTTGGATGTTTTTTGGTCACTTGTTTACTTTGTGAATATCAAAATAGAGTATCCTTAGTTTAGATTATATTTTGTTTAATAATTTGGGGCTCATGGACCACAATGATCCAAAAGATACCCATTGGTCAATGAATATAGTATGTTGAATATACATTTAACTGTCCATAGCACTTGCAGCCTATGTGAGTTTTACAAAGAGTCAAGTATTCACTGAACAATAAACTCTTCCCTGCCAAAATTCGGACTTATTGAAACATGATTGGTCCATTTCAATTAGTGTCCAAGAGTCAGTCAGCTTTCATTTCCTCATAGTGTCTGCTGTGAAAATCTTAAAGAGCTAAATGGATGTATATTACCTCCATGCAACCGGTAGTAAGTCCCAACTGCCCAAACTGTCATGTTGCCAACTAATTCCTTCGCCCTCTCTTCCCTTAGGAGTACACCATCGATGTCTTCTTTCGTCAGAGTTGGCGGGACGAGAGGCTTAAGTTTGATGGGCCCATGCAGGTTTTACCCCTCAACAATCTCCTAGCCAGTAAGATATGGACACCTGATACCTTCTTTCACAATGGAAAGAAATCTGTGGCCCACAACATGACAACTCCCAACAAACTGCTACGACTGGTTGACAACGGCACGCTTCTCTACACGATGAGGTGAGCCTTTATTCACACTGCCAACGGGGCCACTTCCCTGTTGAAGATGTTACGTGACAAGACTAAGAGTCTATGCCACTGCTGGCATCTCAATGATGCTGTACTTAAGGTGCTTTAACACCTTCCTTGTTTTGTCCGAACCACAATACCAGATGTGAAAGGAGCCATGAACCATAAAAGGGGGTTCTCTCATTAAAACAGAACCATGTAGTTTTAAACAATAAGAAGAGAAAGAAGCTGCAGTGGCTCACTGGACTGCCTTTGTCAATAATGAAAAACTTAATTTTGCTGGTAGGAACACAATAATGATTTTACAAAGTGAACCAGTTCAAATGGAAAGAATAAGTTTATCAAATGAATACAATGACTGAATTAACGACACACCCGTGTACAAACCAATCAATGTCAAGTATAGGTAGATGCAGCCCATGTATAGGTGTTGATGACAAGACGTATGTAGATGTCATACAAAAGTTTCTATTCGCCCAATAGGGAGCAGAATAGAAACAGATCAAATGTAAACAATGAAAGAGAAAGACATGAACATTAGTTTGGACGATGGTCACAGATGTGCTGTCAGCTAAATGAAAACATGCAAAAAGATCATGCTAACATGAAGAGTTCAGTCGATGTAATAACTCCCCTCACTGGTGACCGAAAGCAACAATGATACAGTCCATTATAACACCACAGAAAACAGCTGCATGCTGACACATTAACATAATATACTTTGCTTGTAAAGACCTAGTTTTGCGCTGAGCTGAAAATAACGGCTTGACCAAGCAACAAACTGAAGACAAAGATAGAACCAGCGCCAGATTTAACTTGTAATGAAAGGTGAAACAGAATTAATCAACTTAGAAAGAACAACAGCATTGTCAACTGATATGAATTTCTGAGGTGAAACAAACTGAATGATTCAATTCAGCAAAGGGCTTTGTAATGTTTATGTCTATAAATATAAATGCCACTGGTCTGGACAAGTATTGGACAAATTGAAATTTTAAACTGATGATGGTGCCATGTGAAAAGGTTAAGGGATCACCCATGTTATTACAATTCATCCTGAGTAGAGTTTGAATATCAATTTTATAACAATTCATCTAACAGGTTGTTGAGACCTTTCACTTGAACAGCTCATATGTCAACCTCAAAATCTTGGTGCCGGAGGGATTAAAACTTCTGCTGTGTGGAGCTGATGCAGCAGCTACTTGATTCATTTCATCGGCCCGAGTGTCAGACTTGCAGTCAGTCTGGGCCACATGTGTTTCCCAGACAGCTCAGAAAATAATAATCATTTGATCAAAGAGTTGCCACTGTGTCTATGTCATGCCTAAAGTAGACTGTAAATAGCATCAGCTACCGAGACAGTCAAAGTCAGAGAATACTATTATCTACATGACTGGAGCAAAAATAATTCATTGGTTTCAACTCATCTAATCACTGCAGCTGTCAGTCCGTCGGCGTTCCCTGCAGCTTTGCGTCAGAGCCTTGAAAAGGCTTGAAAATGAAAAAAAAAAAATGTTATGATGGTCATCCACATGGTCAGTATTGATTTCCAAGGGTGAAAATGAAATAGTGAGAGTTTCATATAGTGGCTCCACATGAGTGGATTGGATGTGGTGGCAGTCCTGCCAAGGCCAAAAATGACATTTGAGCACTAATGGAGTATCACAAGGAAAGTTGTGTTGCGTCACCAAGTAAATGTCTTGTAAGATGATGAAAAGATTGCATGATGACACAAACTAAGATAAACCACTGTCAGACAAAACAAAAAGACATTTTGCTACCAAACACATTCCTGGAGTCCCTATCTTTGTCTGACACTTAATTATTTATGGTAGTAAAAGCATTGTACAAAATATATATGTATTGTTAAAGGAAGTCTGCACAAAAGAGACTGATAATGTAGGTTTTACTCGGCACACTTCACATGTATCAGGCTTTAGAATAGAACAGGAATCCATCTGTTTTAATAGGATGTCTAGTGTGAAGTACATCACCATAGTGACGGGTACTCCTTAATAAACAACTGCTTAAATCCATTTAATCAGCACGTCTACAGCATCTGCACTGACAAATGCTGTGAAGGCCTCCGCTCTGCAGGATTGCATCATTATCTGTGAATTGAGGGAGCCGGTATTGTCTGCCGGTGCTGCTGCTGTCCTGGGATGGACATAATATATCAATTTGTAAATAATGTAAAATACTCATAGAAGACAGTGGTGTATATTTTTAGGTAAAACTTTTAGCAAGGATGTATTTATTCATAACCCCACAGCCATATCTGACAATATCCATTTCAGAGTTTTGAAAGAGATTTTTCAACAAAAATTAGGATCCACTGCACCAATAATGCACAACTAAACACTCACTGCTTTGCAAATACAGTTGGTGCAATGCCACCTTAAAGAAGAATTATTTCTGGATTTTGAACACAGAGAAATTTAAATATACATTTTAGTGTGCAATGTACAGTCACAGTCTTACTTATTTAGCAATGCTAGTGGATCTCCACCTTGATCCTGACTGAAACACCTATTTGATGAATTGCCAAGACAGTCATGGCCCAAAGGAGATGAATATTACTTCTGATCTGGCGTCACACAGTGAAGTTAACACTGAACTCTCAACTTTTCATTCCGTTACCTTGTGTTTGGTAGTTTAGAGCTGCAGCTGTGGCTCAACATACCAACACACGTGACAGAAAACTAACATCTCAGGACTAAAAAAAAAAAAGTGCCATTCATGTAGAAGACACTGATGAAGATGTCAAATGGACAGCACAACAAGATTTGAAAGCTTTTTGGTGATAATGGCTGTCACCAGTGTCAATGGGCTGTAAACAAATAACTGAAATGGTGTTTATACATTATGTCCTGCCTCCTGAATGCTCTACCTGTGGTTGTAAACGCATCTGATTTCCCAATATGAAAATTGGTTTATTAGCATTTTTTTACTCTTAATAACATTTTGTCTTAACACAGACAGTTTACTTCGTCACCATTGATCAAAACAACTCTTTGTGTTGTCTGATCAATAGTTTAGGAACAAGATGAATTTGTCGATTAGATGTCAGTTTAAGTGCTGTGTGATATGCAGCGGCGTGTTGCTCACGTGTGATTTATGTTGTAACGTGTTAATTTGCGTAGTTACTGAGACACTTATCAGTAATGAGGCAGCACTGGAGAGCAGTCAAGAGGGTGGAAAACAATGGGCGCACAGGGTTGTTGCAAGTGCAAAACAAAGAGCTAATTAGAAACTGTACACTGTAGAAGTGGTCTGTGATATTGATAGTTTTAATAATTTGTTTCCAATAAGATTTATATGAACGTAACCTTTTACAACATGAAATAGTCTTTACGCTGATAAAACAAGTTAAATCTAAATTATAAAAACTGTAAGCATACCAAGCCACAAAACTCAGTATGTAAGCATGATGGATATCAAGCTATGTTCACTTTATCCAGTATGTTTAACAAATAAGAATGCCTCATAAAGCAAGTACATTTACCTACTTGGATATCCTGCTCCACTCCCAGTTCCTAACGCAGTTCTGGATTGATGCCTGGTCTATAAATGTTTTAACTGAGTTACAATAACCCTGTTTGTAGTCCATTTATTAGCGACCCAGTCCACCGTAGGGTGTTTTTATAGGCTACAGTTTTGTTTGAACTCAGCAAATTTAATCCTTGCATTGATTAAACATGTATGAGGGACATAATATGCACAATTTCTCTGTTTATTTAGAGTGCATTTTGTGGCTTGGCTATGGGACCAAATAATATAAACTCCAATGCTCCCTGGACATTATGTTTTTGTTGTCAGTCAGCTGAGTGATCATGGATACAGGAGTAAACCTACATACCTTGGCTTTATGTTTACATCCCACATTTTCATTTTTCTAATGTCAGTTTCTTGGTGCATAATAAATACAGTTGTATCGACTCTGACAATGCTGACACTGCGGCAACACCAGTGAAATATTGTCTCTCCCTTGTCCCCTCAGGTTGACCATTCATGCTGAGTGCCCCATGCACCTGGAGGATTTCCCGATGGATGCACATGCCTGTCCTCTGAAGTTTGGAAGTTGTAAGTCAGTCCACACGGTCATAGGAAACCAAGAGCTTGATAGAAAACAGTACTGCAGAAACAGTGGGGGGATTTTCTCTGCAGGTTTCAGCACCTTTTCTGTCCAAGCAAAACTTCAAACTGCACTGAGGAATAAGAGAGTAGGAGATAACTGTCATACTGAGAAGTGTTTCTTGTAGCAACACAGCAAAATGAATCAACCATCAGCTTAGAGTGAGCGCTCCCTTGATAAAAAGAGGCTATACATTTAACACACTAAAACACGTTCAGGCTATTCATTACAGATTTATATTACTAGCATATGGACCAATATTGGTTCACTGCAGCTACAGTATATGAGTGGTGCTATATATTTTTAAAGCCATTGGCTATGGGTTTTATAGACAGCCATTAAGTTAGAAGAAGTTGCAGCAAGAAAATGTCAATGGTATTTAAGGAAAATTTAGAAACTCCTTGAACTTCAGTTTGTTCAGTACATCTTGGTTCTTAAAAATACTCTGCAATCATGCTAGCAACTCTAGAAGGCCGTTATTACAGTGGTGCAGTAACATACTGATAACTAACATACCTATAAAACTATACATCATTGCACGTTACTTCTACCTTTTTCTCGACCATGTAACATGGGGCCATGTCTTTGCATCTCACAGATCCAGCCTCTCTTTTAGGAAGGAGCTCCTTGTTTTGTCTCGGCTGGTCTGAGATCTCAACCCCGCTCTGTGTCACGTTCACTCACTTTTTTTTTTTGTCTGTGTTGTATGCCATTTATTTATTACATTTTTCCGCATGTAGAGACCACGCCTGTGCATAGAAAACAAAAGCATACTTTAGAGGGAGCATTTCTACTCTGCAAGCACAACAGTTCCTCTAGCACGGGCTGAGATGAGCACAAACCTGTCCTTCCCTGTGTGCAACTGCTTGACACCAACCGACAATTGCTCATCAAGTTGAATTTTGAGACATTGGAGGCGGGACAGTGGCTGAGATGCTTCCCTCCTTTGATTGGGGACTTTGAACACTCCAGTCCCCTAGACTAGATAAATGCCTTTATCTTTATGCAAATTGTCCTGCATCCATGTTGTGTGGAAGAACACAAAGTGCTTTTCAAATCACAAAAAATACCCAAAATGAACATAACACAAAATACAGAGTGATCTGTTGCACAACATAATAAAGGCTAGAGCATAATATAAAACAATGTGTTTTTTTTCTATATCGTTAAATATATATTCTTATATCGTATAAAAAAGTCGGTAGGAATAAACCTCTGTGTCAAAAGTCTATATCATATAATTGACTGAGACTATAGATCACTCTCACTACTGTATTGACAACAAGAAGATTTTCTGAAGATGATTGTGCTAAGGCAAACATTTTTACCATAGAAAATGTTGATCTGTTCTTCAATGTGGACAGATGAGATAAAGTTGCCTCACATGTTCGTCTCTTATCCATGTCACCGTCTTTCTCAGATGCTTACACGAACAATGAGGTGATCTACCAGTGGACTCAGGGAGACGAGAGGTCTGTTGCTGTGGCGGAGGACGGCTCAAGGTTGAACCAGTACGACCTGCTAGGACACGTTACTGGCAAAGAAACCATCAGCTCCAGCACAGGTAGACTATGTGGCACCCTCAGCCAATCAGCAGTACTTTCCTCAAATTAAAACAAACCGAACACCACACTGAGCTTATGGCTGCAGTGTACATGTACACTAATGACAGTTTGACAGCTGTAGTGGACACACCAAATTCTAATTTGATGGGGGATACTGCAAGCAGTGAAACAAAGTTAGTGCATCATCATATATGAACTCCCTTCTCCCTTATTTTCTGTTGACATACAGACCTCACTGTTAATTGGCACTCTGTGTGTTTTCATAAAGTAAGTCTGCACTTTTCTTCACTTTCTGCCATTCTACATTCAGCTGGCATTATCTGGCTCCATCGGGAAAATGATGACTGTTATCAGTTTTCTGGGAAAACTATTCAGCATATTTACAGAGATACTAGAAGTGTGCCAGAGGTGAAAGCCTTATTTCCATTCTGTTGTGGGCTAACAGCCCAGAGTCGACTTTATAAGCATAAAGATAAAGGACAAATATTCTTCCCCTGTACTTTTTGATTACATATTCATTTGATTCTTCTCATCAACATCGCGGAGGAACCATTTTATCAGACAAACACAGTCCCATCACTTTTTATTCATGACGGACTTAAAGCTTATAGTGGTATGAAGTACCAAGGTAACAGCTGGGTAGCAAAGTATAATAGTATAAACAAAAACATTCATTGTAATATTTCCTGCAACATAAAATGGAGAAATACGTGCTGTGTTTTTCATGATACATACTAGTAGTGATCATTTACAGGAAAATGTTAGTTGCCAAGGTATTTTGATAAGAGATCTATCTGGGGAAATACATCAATAAAACATTTCCAATGTCAATTTAGATAACAGGCTTTAGGTAACACAGATAAAGTGCTGAAGGACTGATTACTGCAGAGCTAGAGATAAAAGGTTTCTTCAATGGGGCAGTAGGTAATTACTGAAAGAGTGCGTAGCTTACAACACAGCAACAACAACGACTTTCATTTTGAGAGATTTACCCTCCGTTGTGAAGCCGTTTGCTGGTGTAGCTCTCAGGAGGTGAGAGTCACAGATCTGTCTGACATCAGTTGTGTTTGGAGACTAAAAGCTTTGTTGGATGACACACTGCCTGTTTTCCAAGGAAGCAGAAAGTTGTTTGAAAGCTTCTGATATAATAGAACTTGTGTAACTCCACAGGGAAAACTTTCCTTGAGCACATCTTCAGTGTTTTGCCGTGTGCTGGTTTGAACTTGCGTCTGGCAAATTTGGGGGGAATTTTGAAGGAACAAGATCAACTAAAGTCTGACTATGGGAGCCAGTGGAGTCATCCTGACCCCTTTCATAAACAAGTTCAGCTTGAGGATGTCAGATTTTTCTTTAAACTTAATAGAGTGCAGGAAGCCGAGGGACTGGCTGGGTTTGAGCCAGTTCAGCTCTGGTTAAAATCTGCTCATAA